TCGTGTGGAATGGTTGTGTATAAAGTTGAAAAGTCGTTTCTAAGTTTTCAAGCTGTTGATTTTGGCAAAATATTGTGATTTCGATTTGTCCAAAAGTTCCCTGGAATTTTTTGCGTATCCACATTTGATTTACACCACTTCTTGAATGTATAGTGTTGCACAGTACTCTTGAAAGTTCTCCTTCACTGCTCTTAATATCCTAGTGACGAGTAAAGAAAGAGGCTTGGTTGAATATTTTCTTGAACCCGCTATGCATCTTTGTTTGTAAAGATTCTTATGAAGTTTCGGAATCCAAAATATATATGGTAGTTCAAATTCATTTTGGTTCTTTGGGATATTAAAAAAAATCAAAGCTGACATATGATTCTGAAGAATTTCTTCCTTAGAAAGGGAACTATGAGTATAAGATGAATTGCCACTTGTTGAATTAAAACCAAGTTCTTCTGAACTGGAATTTATATAATAAGCCTTACAAACAAAGACAGTGTTTTTACCTGCTTTGTCAGCAGAGACCAGGAAACCATTTTCTTTTTTATGCATCTTAGTATGAGTGGAAAGGGTCTTGTAAAAATTTGACATTTGTACCCCATGAAGTGCAAAAATAATTTTTTATAGAAATCAAATGCCCTTAATTCAGGACTTGGATTTTTTTTTTTTTTTTTGCATGATATTAATTACGAAGTGGTCTATGATGTCTAACACTGATAGACGAATGATTTTTAACATGTATTTTATAAGAATTGAACTAAAAATATCTTAAGTTCCGAATTAGTATGGAAAAAGCATTTACTTTCTCAAAATGCCTATATATTTTTTTAAATTCATTTAATTTGTTGATCAATCGTCAACGAGAAATGCATAGCAGATATTTTAATTTGCATTTCCTGAAATTTATTTGAGCTCTGATAGTTTTCTCGACATAATATTGATACCTTAATGATGAACTTTAACCCCCATCCCCGTAGTCACGCATTTTAACGCATATACCCTTTCCTATTTCTAACGCAAAATCACGCATATACCGTTTCCCCGCAATCACGCAATTTCACGCACTTTAAAAAGTTCATTTGATCGTTAATTTAAGGCCAACTTACTTATATTTTATACTTGCAAAAATCTCATGAAAGAAGACAAGTTATTTTATTATTAAAATATAGCGTCATAATATTATTTACGCTAGACTTTAGAGAAACGTGTACCACGCTAGATGGTGCTTGCGGGGAAATGGTAAATTTCTTTTTCTATGACGTGAACATTTATTGTATGTTGCATAATAGTCAAGTAAGTTGAAAGTACTGTTAGACGGAGGCTTCATGGATGAGAGAACACAAAAGAAATATATTTGTCATACATAGCTATATATAGAATATTATGAGGAATAATGTGTATTTTTTTTCAATTCAACATTTTTTAAAATGATACTCCAATATTCATGAGGTTGTTGGGATATTATAATTTCATCTTTGTAATGTAAACTTCACCTTGATTAAAGTTCACTGTTATTTAGATCAAATACTTTCAAAACACCATGCGTAAATACAAAGAATTATGAAAACATTTTTTGTGAGCATTATCAAATATCTCAACTTCTAATTTTTAGGATCTGAGGATCGGACTACCTTAAAGAAAGACGTCGCGCACAGAATTGGAACTGATTTTGTAACGTCAAAATTTACTTTTCTGACGTTATTGCATATGTCTTTTAAGCGTAAAAACGTCAAAAATTCAAGGCGTAACAAATCAGACTAGACATTCAATTTTTGCTCCTGTTTTCTTCAAAATGTCTTACTTTTTAATGTTTCTTTAAATACAAAATTTTATTTATTTGCACATTTTAAAAATTATATTTTATCTGTTAAAAGTTTTTCCAGTAAATAGAAAATACAGCTCACATTGGTGTTATACGCCCAGTTAAATACCATAATACACATATTTGTGTCGTAGTAACAAAACCGACTAGACATCAAAATCGCTCTATTAATCTCTCCTACTGCTTGCTTATAATTTTATAGAGAAACATTTGACTACTTCTTGATTTGCACATTTCATTTATCAACTTAGTTTTACAAAAAGAACCTGTTATATAGTTAAAAAATCTTTATCAAACATTCTATCTTTTCTTGTAACTTGTCAAAATTACGGCATGTTACAGAACGCTTCCTATTTTACGAACAGTCGGAATAGTCCGTAAATTATAAATTTATTAATGAATGTTGTGTGACATTATCACAGGAAGTTATAGAAGCTTGGAACAAATTGCCAGAAAAATCCATGTAGCCAAAACGATAAAATGACCAAAAATACCAATGCCCGTCGTTTACAGTGTTACAAGTTACGCAATTTCAAACCCCAATACTATGCGCGACGTCAAAGAGGGCGTAGAAGGCGTGGACAATCCCCCGCTCTGAGATAGCGTTTCTCAATTTTCAAATTTCACAGAAAAGTTATATTTTTGTAAAATCATGTTCTCAGTTATGTCAGCTTCAAAACATTTTATCATTTTATTTTACTGAACAACTTATTATTTGATAATCTTTATTTCAAAATTGACAGTTAAGCATATTTAGTGGAAAATGAGTTTAGTAGAGCTATTAAAAATGAATTTTGAGCATAAATTGGTCAAGTCTCCATTCTTTGTTAACGCTTATATGATGGAAACGTAAATGCGAAATATATTGCATTCGTCCAAAAATGGAATCTGAACCCATTCTATATGAAAATCGAAACTTCCTGAAAAATTGTACGCTTCAACAAACCCGTTCATTTAAATCACACTGACAGATGTTGATAATGCATATACCTTGTAGCATAGTGGTTAAAGCCGTCGGTCTTGAACCAAACCCTGCGCCTTCGAGAGTGTTCGAATCATACGTGAAGCTTTTTCTTTTTTGTTTTCATATGTCTTGAAAACATGAGTGAAAAATAAATTATTAATTAAATATTAAAACAATGAAATACAGAATTAAATGTGTAAAAGATGACATAAACAATATGATTTTGAAAAATATAACTTTTATAATTGAGAAATGTATTTTCTCGTCCGTGCCTTGTACGCCTCCATTGTTTAGAAAGTTAAAACAATCATCATAAAAATGGGCTGAAAATGGGCTCTATTTTTATTTCATTTTTAAACATTGATATAACAAGTGTTTTAAATGATAGTACATGTATCAACAACATGACAATCTTGACATCAATTGATAAAGAGTGGCTTTTATTACAGCAACTAAAATAGCTTTTCAGAAATTGAATTTTGAACATCCAGATAAACAAAAAACTATTTGTTACAATCTTTCAAGGCCTAAAATTTTTTCTTCCTCGATCCCGATTCCCGACCGACTCGCTAAAATGGGAGAACTCCACGAGAAGAGAAAAACATTGTCGTGGCAGCCTACAACTCGACATTTAGACACTAGTATATCGAAGATGTTTTATAATTTAACAATATAGTTATTTTCATCCAGATGTTCCTCGATATATCCCAGGAAACCTGAAATAAAGATACCAGAATTTACCACATCTATTTCATATTTTGATGTTTTAGGGACTATATAGACAAGACAAGCCAACTGAAAACTAAATTGTGTGAAAAACAAGATGACTTACGCTTTTCTTATTCTATGTAGTGTTATTAAACTATAACCTGCTTGAGGTGTATATTTGCTTCTCAAGAGCTTGCTTTGAGTACGCTCATTTTTTAAAATATAGGCTTGCTACTCCCTTATAGGTTGATGGTACATGGATTTCAACGACCTTATTTAAAGTCGGCATTTTGTAAATTCTATGGTCGCTATAATGACCTTGTTATCAAAAATTACCTATTTTGGGGTAGTATTTTGGCTTACTCGTTTCATACTTTTTGTTCGGCCTTTGTTTTTATGAATTTGACTACAGAGTTCCTTCCACCTTATCAGTAAATAAAGCGGCTGGCAAGACTCGTCATCAGAGATGTTTTCTATACCTATACACCTGATCCCACCTCTGATAGTTCCAGCGGCTCGTGTTAAATTATGTCCCTTTAACAGATTTGTATTGTTTATGATTTTTAAAAGATCGATTATTGTTCGTTATCCTCACATTTTACTTTCTTTGATTTTATTTATTTTTTAAAATGTTGAATGATTTAAATCTAATACAACTTCTTTGGTATTTTTATAATCTATACAAGGTATCTGATTTTCATTAACTTTTTAATTGTATACTGTAGAAGAAGTACATGTACTGTACTTCTGAAATTTCTCCTTTACGAAATTTCTATGACATCTATTTTGGTGAGGATTACGCACATGTCTTCTAATCATATTTTAATGTTTTCAGGAAAATTTTAAATCCAGTATAGGTTCATTAAAATCCATTGACTGTTAGGTATTGATGAAACTTTTTTGAAGGAACCCGTGAGTGTTATATTGGTTACCAAGTGGAATTCAAGATAATCCTTTATATAAATACAGATTTAATGTAACAGACTTTGCCGATTCTAGTATCCAAGATAGCTTTTATTAATTTAGAAAGACTGAGAAATATTGTTAACTGATGGGTAAAGAACGGTATTTGTTTAATTAAAACAGTACTGTGTTATTCTAAAATTAAGATTCGTAAAATAAGTAATTAGTATACATGTACATTTTATGAATAGCTCTTGATTTATGTCAAAAAAGGTGAAGACAACGAATACTCTAGAGACAGAATACGGTGTCTGTGGGGAGAAGGAGTCCCCTATCGACCTGGGTGTTCTTCTCTGTCATGCTCTGGTCAATGGAGGAATCTGTAGTCACTCTGATAAATAGGGGCAAAACAATAGATATAAAACAAGATAATAAATATGCAATAAAATCAAAATTCTGAGGGGGAGGAAACATTTATAACTAAGACATTTGTACAAAATACATATTGATAAGTTGTATAAGATATTTAAGGATTTGGAAAAAAAATAAGGCTATATATGAACCCTTTATCTAATTTCACATAAATTTTTTCAGAGAAAACACAAACTCTCAATCTTTTATTTTATTTAAGTTTTACGGTTTTGAAAATCCTCTAGAAATTAAAACACTTAATTTGAATCTTTTCTGTACATAGGACAGATTGAAATAACAAAACAATGAAATTAGCATACAATTGATATGATCTATAAAATTATTACCCACAATTTGTACATAGGCAAACGTATCATGGGATGTACATATAATTTCAAACTTTAAAGAATTCATAATTATGCATTTGTACACATTGTTGGACTTGTTATATATTATACATAAGTGCATAAAGTTTATTAAAATAAAATATCATTCATAAAACTAGAACACACTCTGCAGACCGCAGAGCTAAATGAGGTTATTTCTAAATCTCTACTTTTCTCTAGTCTCTAGAACATTTTCTACCTCTATTATTTTAAATTAATTAAATTTCTGTTACAGAAAGTGTTTAGAATTTAAAGTTCAAAGCTTAGCGTCTAGAACTGCAGACGACCTATATACATATATAGTAAAATATCTCTCTCTCTCTCCCTCCCTCTCTCTTTCTCTCTCTCTCGGATTTCTAGCACAATGGAATGCATGTCTGACACCGGTGATAAAACAGATTTGTACATATTTGTATTTTACAAAATGGTCAGCTGTGAAAATGAGATTACATTGGTTCATACACCGCACGCACTATAAGGTTCACATTTCATCACGGGTCAGTTTGCTGCCGGTTGTCGCACACTGTGTTACGATCCTTTTGATTGGTCAATGTAATATCCATTCCATGAATAGGTTTATAACTGGTCATTTTTACATTTTTCGCCACCCGTGTGCCTTAGGTCCAAATTTAAAACAAAGTTTCTTCGGAAGTCCTCGGTCTTTGGGAATATCTGCAAAATATCCTTCTTTCCTGGAATATCTATAAATAAAAAGGAAAGTGTGATTCCGAGGTTTAAAGCGCATGTACACGTAATCAAAAGCTATAGAATAAGCCAATAACTGGGCGAATATGAGATGATTCAATAATGATGCACAGAGAATCTTTCGTCATCTCAATGATTTACTAACTTCACACTAGAAAATACAGACATTGAAATAACATGCCTTGTTATACATGTATGCATGATATATGAAGATTTAGTTCACTTATAGGTAAAGCTCCAAAAACATTAAATTGGTCACTCATCCCTGAAAAAATTAGAACTGACAGTCAAAGCATTCGAATCTACACATGACTGACACACAATATCCCTTGATACTTTAAGGTATATATTTCATTTACAAAGAAATGATCTACACATATCCGAACTGATTACTCATCTAGAAAGTAGAGCTTAGATACATGTACATCACCAAATCAAAAGCAAAACTGAAGTACATGTATAAGCACCACTAGTGCAGGTTTGGTTTAAAAAAAGCTTTTACTTCCTTTGTAATTGACCCACTCCAAAACTTTTAATAGGAAGACTCAAGCTGTGGGTATAGCCTTCTCATCATGTTTCCATTTTGCGAATATGCGATAAATTAATTACAACTAAACTTCTATGTCTGTCAAGGGTGATTTAAAACACGTTTAGAAATGCTAATTGGTTTATCATAATGAATTATTTAACATCACGAAAAGACAACGGATATTTAAGAGAGCATTAGCAAAAGGAATATAACTCGTGTCGAAAAATGAACAATTAAGAGTTATCTCTCTTTTCAAAATTAGCACATTACCTCAAAGAACGACTTAGTTTCTCGTACGTCATCTTAGACCTGTTATTTTTCTTGCTGCCCCATTGCTTGGCTACCTCATCTGACTTCACTACCCGGAATATCCCCTCCGCCTCCGATTCCCATTTTATGATTCGTGGACAGTATTTATCATCGTGTAGAAGGTCTCGAATAAACTCCCACAGGTGGTAAACACTGGACGCTAGATCAATTTAACTTTTTTATTATAAAATTTCTATGTTTACGATAAAAAAGGATTTTTTAAAATTTTATAATACTAAAAGTAAAAATAAAAGAGCACACTGTACTGAGAAAATTAAGTAAAAGATAACTATATTAACACTATATAATATATTTGAGAATTTTTTAATTTGATTCATTTTAAAGTATTAAAGCTTCTATAAACACGTACTCTGTCCCTTCTTTCTGCCCGGACGTTTCTTTTTTTCGGAACTACTGGAATGTCCGTCACTGTCCGTCTCACTCATGACCTCGTCCTCATCGTCATAGTATTTGGACGGTAATATTGACGGATCAGGAAGACCCAGGTTTGGTTCCTTTTTTATTTCTACCTCTGATAGAGCCGGGTCCCTGTTGGGGAGGTTCACTCTTTGTAAGGCGATCATTCCGGAACCTCGAGTGTTATTTACCTCGCCTGAAGAATCTGAAATTGGATGAATATTGTGCAATGTAGGCATGCATGTAAATACCCAACCATAAAAATATATACTGTAACAGTATGTAATATCCACCGTAATTTAAGCTCTTGTACGGAATTTGTGCAATAGTTTTCAAATAGTAAATCTTAATGTAACCTCAAAATAATTTTAGAATTGAAAAGAACTTCCATAAATATACTTTACACCTGCATTTGTATTACATGTGTATTTTATACTTGATATCGAACGTATGAATTTAAATTTACCAGAACTGTAATCTGAGTTATCTCCTGTTGATCCAGGGCTGTGCGGATATGACGTCAAAGATCCGTCTGCTGGAACCTCAACTTCGTACTGCACGCGACCAAGTTCGCTGGGATCATCAATGTTGACCAGGGGTTGTGACACTGACCACATGGGAAAATGTACCAGGAGATCCTGAGGCTGAGACAATTCGTAAATACTCGATTCTGAAACAAAACAATGGCTTTGATGAACACAGTCTGCTGTCTACGTAACGTAAAGCGCTAAACAGAGGACTTTCTTCAGTTCACAACCTCTCGAAAACCGAGGAGTGACACGCTACTACATTGGCTCTTAGACACCGGTAAACAAAAGTACTTCTGATTCAAGGGCCAAAAAAAGTCAGTCCTTTAATAAGATATGATCTTTGATTTTGTAACTTCCTTATCTTTATTAAGCAGCAAAACCAGCAGACAGCTTATTGAACAACTACTTGATTTTTGTATTCTGTTATACAGAGAAATCTAATTATTAAAATATTTTATATGTATTAGATTTCTTTAAATCTAACCTTGTAAATGAAGATAAAAAGATTATAATCATTTTGTTAATTCACTTGTTTAATGGGTGAAAGAAAAATAGTGATCTACATGTATCACATTTATCAGAAGAATGAATTTTTCCCTTTAACTGTTTAATAATCATATGATTAAACATTTCTAAATTATATGTATTTATCTAATTCAATAACATCTCAAATTACGCAACAAAATTCGATAATTTATTCTATAAACATATTATAATATGCACTCGTCATTAGCCAGATTTCCTCTGTATTGTGCAGTTTAAATACCCAATGTCAGGTCTGCACGCAAGGTTTGTTTTCATGGAATTTGTTGTCGGTTCGCAGAACCGAAACTTGCCTTCTATTCGGAGTAAAACGTGCAGACAACCACGTGACATGTAATTTTTATATACACAATTCACTGACTTTATTGAAAATGCTAGATCTTTCAAACTAATTTTAAGTCGGGCATCTACAAAGGCCTCAAAATACATATAAAACTGGATGCCGTGAAAGTAAAACTCATTTTTGAGGAAGGATAAATTTTGATATGCAAAAAATTAAGGGTAAATTACAGAATAAATAATATGAATATGCAATTTTATGCACAAAGCTTTCGCTATATTAGTATTGATTGATGCATTTAATTAACTACAAAATGTTTCACAATGTTTTTAATATGATAAATCTGTTCATTACATTTTACTGGGCAAAGTGGTGAAAATATCAATCGTTACAAATTAAGTAGTTTACAGTTGAATAGTCATAATAAAGTTAAGAGCACCTTACTGTTTGAAGCCGTCTGCCCTGGTCAAGGAAGTGAAACTGATAACGGCATTATAATTATATGCACCTCCTGAAATACCCATGCAATTATTACTTCCGGGTTCTATAAATTCAGTTGTACGAGATCGTTATCAGTTTCACGTAATCGAACACCGCGTATAAATTGTTATCCGTGCTTTATGGCTACAGTACAAACACATGCATACAATGCTATTCTATGTCGGGACGGGGCGTGGATATATTGTAAACAGGATACTATTTTTGTGGAAAACCTAATTGACAATTGCCCAAAGAAAAATTCACGGATTTGCTTAGTGCAAGTTATCCCTAAAACTACCTTATAACATTCCGTTAACGTGTAAAAGACGCATATCAGCAAAAGATAATGATTCTTTTTATCATATCCTTGGTATTATAATGACAAGTGTTTCTATAAAATACAAAGGTATTTGCAGATGATTACAGGAACTAAAACCCGCGGAAGAATTACACCAAATAGGGAAATATTTATCAGCGCAGTTTCTACTTTCGTTTTGTTTATCTTACCTTCTGTAAGGGCTGCTGGATTTAGGAAGTCGCTCTCATCCAGCCCGCGTGTGTCAGAGGCAGTTCCCGTCATGCTGTTTAAGGAGAGGTCCAAAGGTCCGAAGTCGTCGGTACTGAGAGATTCCGTTAGAACATCGGCCAGCTGAGAAAAAAAAGACACGGAAGTAAAATACCTGCAAAGTGATCTGGGTCGCAATGTCAATACACTTCACGTCAAAAGATTGTTGAGCTCTAACACAATGTTTAAATGTCCTGGCTGACGGTGCGAAGGTACCTAATTCAATAGGGATAAAAATAAACTCCAGTTATCACCCAAATAAGGGTATTTCCCGAGAAATATTTCTTGTGAATTATAGCATTTGGGTGTATCTATTGATCTTTATGAATTTTAATCATTAAATGTGACGATAGCGAACATTGATCTCTCAAGTCCAATAAAGAAATCAAATGAACAGGAACATATAGGGACCCCTGAAAAAAAAACAGAGGTGGGATCAGGTGCCTAGGAGGACTAAGCATTCCCTGTTGACCGGTCACACCCGCCCTGAGCCTCTGTATTGTTCGGGTTATGGTCTACTCCTAGTCAAACATTACTTCATTGCTTGAGCAATTGAAAGTAAAATTTTCCAAATACTTTAGTACCTCGTATTATTATTTGACAGATAATATTACTAAATATTATAATACATTTTTGTACATTAACTGCATGCAAATATTGATATATGTGGATCTATGGAAATTAAACACTATAGTAGTAGTAAATATACATCCCATTTTTGTATTTATTGGACCGAAAACCCTTAGCTAGTGAAGATGTATATATTAAAACTAATACAATGGCAACTTTTATGTAATCCGAGTTTCCTCTTACGATTTTGAGAAAAAGCAGGGTGTAGAGTTAGAAGAATATTTTATTAGCTTTTAGGTTGCTTCTCTTGAATCATTTGAATTTACTGACTTAACTTGAACTCAAAAAATTCCAAGTTTTAACCTTCCATAGACAATTACTGTTTACTTACCGACGGGAAAATGTGGGCTGCCATGATCCCATTGAAGACGTCGGCCCTGCAAGGAAAAAAAATGATTCAATAATAAAAATTGATAACTTAGAGAATGGGGCTAAAATACGCTGTGGTTGCTGTCCAGTTCATTTAGAATTTTGTGGATAAAACATTTAAATGAATTAAAAACAGTTTCTATCAGAAGTACAACATCATCCTCAAATGGGTCAAAATTAATGCGTCACTCCCTGTGCTGTAAGTAGCCGCAGTCCTAAAGAAATTGTCATTACAGTTTGAAAGGACCGTGAAATGAATAAATCATTAAAACATACAAAAATAAAAGACCGAAATTTAAAGTCTAAATTATATGTTCAAAAAGCAAATAATATTGACATATTTCAACCTTTAACTTCCTGCCTTTGTAAGGATAAGGAAAAAAAACAAATTGATATAATTTAATCTACATTGTGTTATATATCAGATCATGAAAAAAAGGAGATTATGAAAAGCAATCTAGCTCAAAGGTCCATTCAAACAATCTAAATCAGGAGCAGAGCAAACTCGGACCTACAAAACATCATATGTGGGATCAGGTGCCATGGAGGAGTGAGCATCCCCTACTGACCAGCCACACCATATTAATAATTGTATTAAATAACCATATAAATAAACATATATTAAAACACGTAAAGATTTAGGTATGATGTAGATTATTTTTTTAAAAAGACATCGCACCTATATATATACCTCAATTTTACTAAGCTTCCAGCATAGGAACAAGTCAGAGTAACCTGATTATTTTTAAGCTAACTTGTCAATAGATTTGGCATTGGGAAAGGGGGGGGGTCTTTTACATGTAATATCCTCGGAGTGGGCTACCCATCTTCACGCTTTTTTATTTGAGGCAGATTTCTTTTCATGTATTTTTTTTATTTTAATATCGACAGAATTGTTTTCGATCTTTCGATGCTAAACTGTCTTTCTTAAAAGATAACATTCGTTGAGTTGAGCTTTACTATCTTGAAGTTTGTTGCAACTTTTACAATATCTCATTAAACTTTTTAGCTAAAGTCTGAAATTCTAAGACGAAAGAAATAGATATTAAAACTAAAAATTTATATGGACTAGGTCATTTTTAATATCGGTTATGCATTTTATAGAAATAAGTTTTGAAGCGAACATTTTGCACTTGTATTGATAAAAACTTCAATTATAAAATAGCTATCAGATTTAGAGCAAGTAGACATGATATAAAATTCCATTACGGATTTTCACAGAATCTCGGCCTTTCTCGGTAAATGACATGATATTGGAAATTAGATAAGCATAATAACACAGGGAGGTTTGAACGCCTATGACATACGAAAACTATCATCTGAAAAAAAAAAAATAAAATTCTCCTTCACCTTTGGCCCAAAGTTACACGAAAACTTTAAGGTTAATTATCATGTGAATGAGCGTTTTTAGCTTTACAGTATTCTTTTCATAGTCTACAGAAATGTAACAATCATTTCTATTTATTTAATTTCCGTTTAAATGATTCATTGTATTCAGAAAAAATGACTATTAAATCTTTCTTTTCAATACATTGTTTACACGTATACAAAAGTTCACTTTTCTAAGTTCCATTGTTTTACATGAATTAAAACTCTCTCACCTCATTGACTATATGTCCCTGTTTATAAACACTATTTACAAGGGGGGAAATTCCCTAAACATATCTGGAGAAGTCTCGACTTTCGTTTCAGCGTATACTCAGATATGTAAACTGAGAAGCGCTAGTTTTATTTTAAGAGACATCCCATGGAACACGCAAACCTTACACCACCTATCACAAAAGACTGAATTAAAGCTGAAACTATCGGTATCCAGTTACTTCGTAGGTTCCCACACAGACAAAAAGATGTGAACTTTGAACGGTTTTGTTTAGGAGAGAGATGCCCATTGGGTACATATATACCTGACTAGGGGGTTTATAATGATGACAAACACCCCGTATTACCTGTCTGACCATTATTCTCTGTACTGTAAACATACCATTTAAAAACGTTTCTACAAATATTTATTGCAATATCCCCTCCCCCTCCCTCACAAACAAATATTACCAAAATTCAGACGCTGAAACATTACATTATATAAATATTAATTCTTGACTGAAATAACAACCGTAGCATACCACAAGAAAGCCTTCATAGATATATTCATTTTGTAACAGCATGTATACAGAGAAGCCTTTCATGTAACCGAAGTACATACTACTTTACAGTGAATGTCAAGCTGAAGCGAAGAAAGCGTCTAAGTTCGAAAATCCAGTAAAATTGTCCTCCGACAATTCTTTTGCATTGAATTTCAATCTCTCTAAAAGATTATTAATTTACGTGTAACTAATTGTCTAAAACAGTTAAATAGAATGTCTAAAATATTTTTTTTTTGTTTTTGCATAAATTTATCTTACATATAGGGGCAAAATATGCTTACTTTCAAAATTTCCAATTAATGCCGTTTGAAGTAATCATTTCTTTTTCTTAAAATAACGTAAAATTATAATTACACAAAGGTTATGTATGGGCCTGTATCATTGAGATGGTTCCATTATTTTATATATAATTTGAAACGAGTTTACAGAGGAAAATAATTTAAAAGGCTTCAGGGGTTAAAACATCGTCTCAAGCCACGGTCCGGAGTCCGCATATAGCTCTCTCCCAGAATGGGAGAGGATAATACATTATGGCCGTGGTTTGCGACGATGGTGTTAAAAGTACCGTCTGATAAGAAAGGTAAAATTCTTCGAATTAAAGATTTATTCTATTCTTTCTTCTAAAAACCCATGTTTTATGGCCACAATGCAAATCAGTCGATATGCTGTCTATACACATATTCCTTATTATTCGTCACCTATGCATTCCATTGTAACAAGAGAGCCAGTTTCTATTATAGGTGAATTTTAAATCCTGTTTTTGAATCACGTATGTTTTGACTAAATATCGGGTGATAAAATCATTTGTTAATTTCCTTACAATTTGCTCAAAATATTTTTCATTCAGTACTGTATACAGGTATATTTTTAATAAGCTTTGGAGCCAAACCATGAGCCAGGAATAGATATTGGATAGTTTTGTTTCATTTTAGAGATCCGCCAAATTTACTATAATTGTTTTTCTCTGGACACATTTTTTCATCAAATTAAACCATTGGATGCGTCAAAAATAAGAAAGAAATATAAATGTTCAAACATTATTTTCAAAAATGTATGTACATTTATTGTATAGAACCGTTGGCTTCTAACCCCTGACCTCTACATATTTTTATACAGTTATTTATTGTATAGAACCGTTGGCTTCTAACCCCTGACCTCTACATATTTTTATACAGTAATTTCTTCCTTGTCGTTATCTTACAACTTGTAAAAAAGGTCAGTCTATTTTTAGGACCCTTGACTCAACTTTTATAGAAGATTCTCAACTTCAATTGAATTTTAAAACACTTTTAAAGTTCAGTAACCTTTTTAAAAACTACAAGTAATTGCTTCCACTGAAAATATTACGCAACAAGTTGATCCAGCGTGATAAACGTGAAAGCCTTTATTTTTTCTCCTTTTATGCCAGGAGTTAAATGATGCATTAAAGTCACTTAGATTTTACTGCAGTTGGTACTCTCATTAAGAAAACATGAAAACTGTACTGTCACAAAGTTGGTCTTTTCTGCTAAATAACAAAATTAAAAAAGTATTCAAATTTTTCCCATTTGTAGTTATTGCATGTAATATTCGATTGTGGTACATGTTCATGTTATCCCATTCACTCAGAATTAAAAAAGCTCCTCCTGACTTGTGTTAGTGCCTTTAAGTATCAGCTTTGTTCACAACAAATTAGGAGAGATTCTGGATCGATATAAAGAGAAAATCTGCTCTGCACAGCAAATGCTTGGCCAGGAATCTAGTGAAACTGGAATGTCAACCAGACAGAACGACATAAACGGACTTATTACGATTTCTTACTTTGAAAACAAAAACGGTACAAAATCTAACCTGTGCAGGTAAAAGGTATAAAACTAACCTGTACTGCATTGCTGCACAATAAAACAAGACACTTATGAAAATTAAAACATCCAAACAGATTCAGTATAGCACTAGAGAGAGACTTCCATGTTGAAGTGAACAAAACTCTTCCTTGTTAACACCAAGTGTAAATATCTACAGCTGAACACGTTCATTTGATAGCTTACACTGCACTAACGACATTGGTCCATTTAGGACTGTCTAGGAAGAAATTATATATGTCACTCTGCCTTCTTTGCTTTCACGATTTGTTTGGGGTGGCAAAAAAAAGGGGGTTCACTTACCTGAGATTTAATGTGTCTAGATAATAAATCTTACATACTTTATATTTATCACAGAGGTGCACTTTTCTTATCTGACAATAAAAGCAATTCAAACTGATCGATAACACAGGTACATGGGGTATGGAACCCCGTCCCCGGGTCCGCCCTCTTTTCCTTTTTGTCAAATCAAGGATCGACAAAATCTTTTACTTTTGTGTTTTCTAGTATTCATGATCATTACATAGCATCGATGATGTAATTCTTTTGTTTCAAAACGCTATTTAAAATATCTCGTTTCGTCTACATATTCTTCGAAAGAAAAAGCAAAAGATTTAATAACAAATCCAAGTAAGGCAGGGGAGATATTGGTCTCAAGAATTACCCAGGCAAAACGACAACAACATACCCAAATATTACAGAGAAAGATGATGGTCGTAAGAATTACCAAGGCAAAACGACAACAACATACCCAAATATTACAGGGAAAGATGATGGTCGTAAGAATTACCAAGGCAAAACGACAACAACATACCAAAATATTACAGGGAAAGATGATGGTCGTAAGAATTACCAAGGCAAAACGACAACAACATACCAAAATATTACAGAGAAAGATGATGGTCGTAAGAATTACCAAGGCAAAACGACAACAACATACCAAAATATTACAGGGAAAGATGATGGTCGTAAGAATTACCAAGGCAAAACGACAACAACATACCCAAATATTACAGAGAAAGATGATGGTCATAAGAAGATCAAAATAGCGTACCCAAATAATACGGAGGAATGTGTAAGAATTGCAAAGACAAGACCATGCGAATAGAATAACCTACCAAAATAAGACTGAGAAAAATGATAGTCGTAAGAATTACTAAGACAATATGAAAATGACATACCCAAATAATACAGAGGAAGATAATTGTTGTAAGAATTACAAAGACATGACGAGAATAAAATACCATAATAATATTGGAGAAGTTGATGTTAGTACGAATTACCAAGACAAGACAACATAATTATCGTAATAATACAGAGAACGATAATGGTCATTAGAATCATCAAGACAAGACCACAATGACATAGCCAAATAATAAAGAGTTAGATAATAGTCGTAAGAATTACCAATACAATAGCAGAATATTATACACAAATAATACAGAGGAAGAAACACGGTCGTAAGAATTAACAAGACAAGACAAGAATAAAATACCAAATAAATACAGAGGAAGATAATGGTCGTAATTAAACATATGGAGATAACGAACAGTATTAAAGATAAAAGTCCATCAAACAATACAAAATAGGAGCAGACCAAACTCAGACCTCCAAAACATCAGAGGTGGGAACAGGTGTCATGGAGGAGTGAGCATCCCCTGCAGACCGGTCACATCCGCCGTATGTTCCTTGTCATGATCGCAAAATATCGGAAAAATTACCAACACAAGACCACAATGACATATCCAAATAATAATAATACAGAGGAATATAATGGTCATAAGAATTACCAAGACAAAACTAGAAAAAACATACCCAATATTAAAGAGGAAGAGAATGGTCGTAAGAATTACCAAAACAAAATCAGACTAACATACCAAAATAATACAAATTACGATAATGGTCGTAAGAATTACCAAGACATGACCAGTTTAATATAGCTCAAAAAAAGGGAGAAGATGATGGGCTCAAAAAGAAGATCGACATCAGAATAAAATACCCAAATAATACAGAGGAAAATAATGGTCATAAGAATCACCAAGACAAGACCAGAAAAACATACCAAAATAATACAGAGAGAGATTACAATCGTAAGAATTACCAAAAAAAAAAAACAACAAACAAACAAAACACATTGATACACTTTTTAATGAGAAAGAGGAAATACAGGTCGGGAAATAAACAAATAAGACCATATTAATATTCTAATAAAAGATTTCGGGAAAAATCTCAATTTTAATCGGCAATAATTGCTTCAGAAATGATCATATCAGACAGTAAGAAACTAGCTAACCTGCAGAGAGAGAGAAAGAGTTTTAAGGTTTCTTTAATATTGTTGATCATCTTTAAACTCTCTGAGTAAAACTGATTGTTCATACAAGTCTATAAGAAAAGTATTGAACAGAGGCTTTCTCTAAGAAATATTTACAAAAATTACAATTTCTGCAGATTCTTCTATCTACATCCTGTTTACAGAGAGACGTTTCCAAAGTTTCTTTATTTCCTTATTTTCTGTGTTTTTCTCGTGGATAAACGTTCGCTGGTAACATTTTAAAGATACATTGATAAATCAAGGAAGACGAAAGTTTTTGTCATCCTATACAAAATTCACCGAATCTACTTCTCGGGTAGCATTTAAGGAATGAAGCTTATCTTAACCTATGTTACACGATATAACATAACTTGGGACAGTTTACGCTTTATAAACCGCGTTTAACATAGTTTAAAGTAAGCTTCATTCCTAATAAAATTTCAGTGTAGAAAATAAGATAATATTTCCTCCAAAAATGGCTTCAAATTGAGCATATTTTGAAATAAACGTCAAGCGAAGTAAAACGTTTTCGACGTAACGTTTGATGTAGGCAAGATATAAAATAAATCTTTAATCAAATCAAATGACGTGTTACAACTAAAATTAAATCATATATGTGTACAATCGTTTTGACACGAACACATTATAGCAATTTTACATTTATATACAAATTTAGAATTGCAAATTAATGCCATGTATGAATAGGAATCCCTATGGGAATGTTTTCTCTATGTTCTGATCGTATTTTGTGTATATATGAATATGACTTGTTATATGTTTCTCATCTTCAAACAATGAATGCATTCTTCATGACCAACAAGAAATATTTACTTAAACTGTTGCGGATTCAGGATGTTAATAAGAATACACAACCTGAATATTTGAGTGAATGACTTTAAAAATGCACTATACCAACACAATTAATCTGTGCCTAATTATTGAATTAATCACCTTTAAAGGAAGAGGGGCTCCTGCCTGACCCATCCATCCCTTCCCCTTTCAAGAAACCTGGCAACGGCTCTGGGAAAACAAAAATATTTGCGTTTTAAAAATAGGGTTCTGTTCCTTAAAAGAATCGGAAATTGGTTTTTAAAAGTTGAAGCAATCAGGAACTGGCCTGAAAAACAGTAGAAGCGAACCAAGAAAGACAACTCCTTAAAATCATCGTGCTTGAGATTATCGTACAGGTGCTACATAATAAATATTATGTCGACACTTTACGACTTATCAATGCATTATTTATGGAATTTAATCTTTATTGTCTGTGAAGGAAATTAAATTCATATTTTTAATCTAAACAATTAATTAACAACATTGAAGCGAAGTTAGGCCCCTAAAATCTTCTTTTCTTTTCTTTTTTTTTTTGAAAAGGCTTTAGAAAATGTCCAGGAAACTATTATCAAAGCAAGACTTTGTACTTAAGAAAAACAAGGAAATGAATACTTAATGGACTCCGGTCACTGAATAAACTTTACAGTAAAGAAAACAAAACCTAGGGCCGAGTATCTGTGCCGGAATTAACTAAAACGAGGCTCCTCTGGCATGCATGTAATTTCTAAGCCGGGAGATTAGAGAGAGAGAGAGAAAGAGAGAGAGAGAGAGAGAGAGAGAAAAAAAAAACAAGGAAATATTATACTGCTTATATACTCGGGCACTGTGATGGGAAGAACTCGACACAATCACAGCGTATAACACTTCCTCAATAAAAACAGAGACAATGGCGAATAATAAGAACTCGCCCCTGGCATGTAAACAATACATTTATACATATGTATACACGCCAGATGTGTAGCATGTTAGCAGATGATCCGAGATATTATCGTATGATTGTACACACGTTTAAAGTATTCGAGCAAAATTATATAAGCTACTAAGAAAAAACAGCTGTTGTCAAGAAAAGGTTTAAATGACCAGTAAACCTGCGTTACACAGATCTAAAGTCGCTAGTAGGAGTAATCCATCATAGGCAAAAATCAATAAGAAGTATTTCAACATGACTAGCCTTATACCATAAATTAAACACCAACAGGAACTAAATAAAACCCTGAATACGATAGATAGGACACTAACATGCATTTTGATTGTGAAATGGACAAGTGTATATTTCTGTGAATGGCGGGAATGATGGTTACCTGGCGTCCACGATGGCCACCCATAGCATACTCTCAGTCAGCCAATTCTACTTCCTCCTCCGTCGCTCTATTCATTTGAGAAAAAAACACTGAGCGCTGACTGGTCCTCCCGCGTTTTTATCGCCCGAATTTACTTCCTCGTCTCGATAGTACATGTACAGACAGTCAGATTGTAAATGTAGTATTACTCCACGCCTTAAACAAATCTTCAGGAGGAATCCATGTTTGTTAAACTATATCATCTCATTGTCAATGGCGACTACGTAATTCATGTACAGCGAGGCTCAGTCTGATGGTTTGACCTTGTCTATTCGAGTCAATCTCAGCTAGGACATGTTCATACCATATCTTTTTCTGCTGTTGTTTCCTTATCCCTACTACTCGGCATTTAATTTATGTACATTTTTACGTTCGATACTCTTGCTATGGAAAGGTCAGACCCGAGGTCATTCACTGATACTACACCTTTGCTTATGCAAGAATGACCTATATTAAAACACGAAATGAACTTGCTAATTCCGAATAAGAGATAATGATAAATTTTATTTTACTTCCTGTTTAGCTGTGTAGAAGTACATTAGTTGTGAATATCCGACGCATGTAAACAAAACCTAGCGTATCAGGTGATCTACTGACGGGCGGATCTAAAATTTAGTATCAGTAGATTGGTTCACAACTTTTAATATGTGTCCGGGTTTTGATAATATACTTAATTTTTCATTTTATTCAATAAAACCGCGTTTAATGCTAATGTAATTAATTTTACTTTACAAAAAAATGATATTACTTTTCAAGAAAAAGTATTTAAAAATTGAAATAAAACTGAAATACTTAAATACAAGTTGTTCAACTTCACATGTTTTAAATAATCTGTTCCTTTCTTTTTGTCAAAAATCGAAAATTTGTTACGGCATGTGTGTAAGTGTGATTGTGTGCGTGATTTTTTAAGACTTCCGTCCTAAAGATCTTTTTTTAAACACAAATGTTTCATTTATCAGGGATTTCAATTGTAATTTCAAGAAAAAAAAAAATAGAAATACATTTATTGGAAAAATTGCAAATATTTTCAAGATCTCTTTTTTTTTAATAAAAAAAAATTCTGCATTTATACATAATATTATAAAAATATTGGAAACATTGTAAATATCTGATATAAGGCAAGATTTTGAAAACATGAATGGAAATCCTTGGAGCTTGGTGTTGACATTATTGTTAGCGATTGTTTGTTTATTTTTTTGTCTGTGCTACCCTAATATCAAGAGTAAGAATTATAAGAAAGTAAATAAACATTCTTTGGTGATTCTTATATTTTAATTTTGATTTTTTTTATTTAGCCTTCTTTACACGTGTAAGAGACTGCCTTTTAAAGAACCCAGACCAAAAAAAAAAAAAAACAATTCTGTTCTTCCAAACAGTTTTAATGACATAAAGAAACTTGCAATGGTTCTATATTACGCGCAGTCTTCTTCTATAATCTCAACTTTTTCCTGACCTGTCTGGGGGCCATAAAACTAAGATGAGCTCACTTTTGATCTCAGTCTCACTTTTCCACTATTAGTTCCTTTGGTTAATATGAGAATAAGACCTAAAGTGACCTCATCTAAGTTTTATAGCCCCCAGGCCTGCTCTGTAAAACCCAGTTTGTCTGAGTATAGGGTCTAAATACGGAAGCCCTTTTAGGACTTATAAAGATTGAATTTGATATAACGAATTGTTGAATTTGATATAGCGAATTTCATTCGTTAAAACAAATTCTTTGAATTCGTTATAATGAATTTAATCTGTTAACAAATTTGTTGAATTCGCTTAAACTAATTCATAAATTTGATGAAATATATGAAGACAACGAACAGTATTGAAGCTCAAAGTCCATCAAACAATACAAAATAGGAGCAGAACAAACACAGACCTTCAAACATCAGAGATGGGATCAGGTGTCATGGAGGAGTGAACATCCCATGCCGACCGGTCACACCCGCCGTGTTCTTCTTGTCATATGCATGATTGGGAAATATCGGAAAATTCCATCGACAATTCAATGGCCTAATATTCAAAATGAAAAAACGCCAGTAAGCATTTGACTCAATGATAAATTGTATTCGCTGACAATGTCATTGTATAGACCACAGAACTTACGAAACGATGACTTTAAACGAGACTGCTGCTATTCTTGTTTCATAAATTTACCTCGATTTAGAAATTGTCCATACGTAGAGCATGCTCTTGCGAATCGAATTAACTGGGGGATATCAACCCCGTATGCAGGTGATGAAGGTATATTGCTGCTAAAGTAAGGTAAATTTACGATTGAAAAGTTTCAAGTGAAATATCCAAATATGAAACAGATGTGTCAAACTCTGTAGTATCTTTTATCTCAAGCTCACAGGCATATATCATGTTAAGCAAATGAAATTTATTAAATTAAATGCATTCTAAAACTTGTTTTCACGAATTAAATTCGTCAAGAGACCTCTTTAATTTGATTAATTTGTTATAATGAATTAAATTCGTTCCAATAATTTGGAAAAATCATTATATCGAATTCGTAAACGTTTCTGAATATTAGTCAAACAGAAAATCAGATGGTAATGGCATACCAACTTTTAAAAAGGGTGACCTTCTTTACCAGGAATAGTAGACATGGCAAATATTCTAAATGAACGATTTAAGGAAGCCTTCACTGAAAAAGTACAGCTGAGGAGTTTTCTAGGCGATATGCGACATGAAGAATGCATGGAGATCTTGAGATTGAAGACCTTAACATAACAGTAAACGGAGTCCTTAATTACTTCACTTGAGGGGCTGAATGTAACCAAAGCTCCAGTAACAGATAACATAGCACCAAAGATTCTCAAAGAATTGGCAGATGATGTGGCCCCAGTCCTTACTTTGTTTTTTTTAACCATTCTTAGCAAACTGGAGAGATACCAGCAGTATGGAAATCAGCCAACATCTGCCCAATAGAAATAATTTGAAAAAGAAAGACATATCAGGGGCCAGTGTCATTAACATGCATCTCCAGGAAGATTATGGAGCACATCGTAAATAGCCACACCATGAACCACTCCGATTTCAACAAGATCACTTACCCACTCCAGCCGGGTTCCGTCGTGGCCTTTCATGCAAAACTAACCTTACAGAGTTCATTGATGACATCACTATCAATATAGACAAGGGAAAACAGACAGAATGCCTTATTATTGGACTTCTCCAAAGCATTTGATAATGTGAGCCATAGTCTCCTAATCCACAAACTCAACCATTACCGAATAAAAGGAAAGACAAGTCAGTGGATCCAAAGCTTCCTTACCAACCGTAGGCAAAGGGTGGTCATGGGGGTGAATCATCTGAAGAGGTGTCCGTAGACTCGGGTGTTCCCCAAGGTACGGTCCTTATTCCCAGTCTCTTTCTATTTTATATCAACTACATGCCAGCGGGCTTTCTATCAACTGTACGACTCTTCGCTGATGATATCGTAGCATACATGACCATCACATCAGATGCAGATGTAGAGAAGCTGCAGGAAGACCTCAACCAACTAGCAGTGTTGGAAGATAAGTTGCTCATGAGATTCCAACCAGAAAAATATAAGGTGCTTAGCATCATTAGGAATCGTAGAGTCATCATGAAAAACTATTATATCCTACATGGCAACAAATTAAAGCATATATCCAGGCGTTACCATCTCGTCAGATTTGAAGTGGACTCAACACATAAATAACTTCATCGCTTAAGCAAATGGCACCATCGCTGTTCTCCAAAGAAACACCAACATGAGTAATAACAACATCAAGGAGAAAGCATACAAATCATTAGTGAGACCAACTGTTGAGTATGCCAGTTTGGACTGGAATATTAATCTAGACGTAGATGTAGATGACATTTACAACTGTGTATGACTGTGTTCTTATAATATATGAGAAGCTTGTGTTTACTTGAATTGATTAGAAACTTTTTTGGAAAAATATTCAAGTAACAATTGAAGAACCACCTCGTGACGTGGATAAATCTCTTTGAACATACGTGTGTCCTTACTCCTACTATTACATGATACATGTGGATGTGTTGAAATAGCATAAACTATATATACATATAAGCGTGGAATGAATGTGTAAGTACATTGTTCCAGTATTTAAGACATTCAGATCTTTACATGTAGGTCGTGTTACATCTGGACTCTTAAGCACCCATAAATACGAACAAAGTGGCACAGGAACACCGCGTTACGGTTAGTTAGAAGTAGATTATGCTGCGCTCTTCAGGCTATTTTAAAGTTTCCAAGTATCAACTTAAAATGTCCACTCAACAAGACCGCTCAGAGAAGGGAAAGGAAGGGACATCTAATGATTTAACAAATAGTTGATTAAGTAGCTACAGACCTTTAATAATAATAAATAGCTGATTCTGTAGCTACAGATTGCTACCGATAACAACAAAATAGCTGGCTCTGTTTTTAACAGAACACTTATAGCCGATTCTGTGGCTACAGGCTTTTAATGGTTGATTCTGTGTCTACAAACTGTTTATGATTACAACAAATAGCTCATTATGTGTGTAGGGACTTCTCCTTATTACATCAAAAAGCTTATTATGTGTCTAGGGACTTCTCCTTATTACATCAAATAGCTCATTATGTGTGTAGGGTCTTCTCCTTATCACAACAAATAGCTCATTATGTGTCTAGGGACTTCTCCTTATCACAACAAATAGCTCATTATGTGTCTAGGGACTTCTCCTTATTACAACAAATAGCTCATTATGTGTCTAGGGACTTCTCCTTATTACAACAAATAGCTCATTATGTGTCTAGGGACTTCTCCTTATTACAACAAATAGCTCATTATGTGTCTAGGGACTTCTCCTTATTACATCAAAAAGCTTATTATGTGTCTAGGGACTTCTCCTTATTACATCAAATAGGGACTTCTCCTTATTACATCAAATAGCTCAATGTTTTTTTCCTTATCACAACAAATAGCTCATTATGTGTCCAGGGACTTCTCCTTATTACAACAAATAGCCCATTATGTGTGTAGGGTCTTCTCCTTATTACAACAAATAGCTGAATCTGAACGTAGCTAGAGACTGCTATTGAATACAACAAATAGCTGATTCTCTGTCTACTTAACACTAATGATAAAAACTACTGACTGATCTTATTTTTTTTTCTTGCTGATACTTATATCAACCAACAATTAATTTTCTCCCTATACAGACTGCAATGAAATACGGTATATGGAGATAACTAACGGTATTCAAGCTGCTCAGAAGACAATTAAACAATACAAAAAATAGGAGTAGAGCAAACACAGACCTCCAAGACATCAGAGGTGGGACCAGTTGCCATGCAGGAGTAAGCACCCCCTGCCGACACACCCGCCGTGTGCTCCTTGTCGTGATCGAGAAATAACGGAAAATCCGTCGTGAATTCAGTGTGTAAAGAATGGATTAATAATTAGTATGAAAAACGTCAGTC